AAGTGGGAGAGACATGCCAACAATGCCTCCAATCTGCATCTTGGAAATAAAAACAACTAGGATCATTTTAATATGAGAGAGTAGAAAAAAAGAAGGGGGCCATAATCTTACCTCCCAGATAATTCCTATTGACATCTTTCTAAAAAAAAAAAACAGCAATACATGCACATGATATGAAATTTCAAGTAGTTCAGATAAATATTATGTAGAAAATAGAAATGCTAGTTAGAAAGTAAAAAATTCCATTCCTCTTTCCTGTCAGTTTCCCCAAAGGCAATCATTGTTACAGGTTCAGAATTTGCCTTCTGATGTGTCTCACACCAAATGGTGGACCAGACTATTGGTAAAAATGTGACAAGCCAACCCTGCACTCAGTTCCTAGAACTAGGATTCCCCTTTGGCTTAAAAACGTCCAACTGCAGAAACTTAATAGTGACCAAGTTGCCTCCTGTCTTCCAAATACCTGCTTCTTCATACTAGAGAATTCATTAGCAAATAGGTACCGTTGGGCCAGGGTACAGTGTTCTTATTTTAGGAAGTCAAAGTCACACTATTTCTCTTTTTCTTATTTCTATTTGCTGCAGGTTCCTCAAGCAAGGAACAGAGCAACAAAACTGAGATATATGACAAGAAGACAACAGACCAGGCTCCAAACTCTGATGCTACTGGGAGTCAGGGCCATCCACTGCCAGCAGCATCTGGAAGAAGACGGAGAAAAAAAGGAGCAAGTATTTCAGGATTGAGTGAGTGTGAATTCAAAGGAAGAAGCCTTAAACAATCCAGTGAAGGGTATGGCCTGGGCGATAGAGCTGCATCCTCACCTACTGATAAGACTGCCAGGAATGTGCCTTTCTGGCACTTATCCTTGGAGAAGGACAACATGGAGCAGCCTACAACTCCACAACCAGAAACCACTATCCCTCAGGGGTTGCTTTCAGATAAAGATGACATGGGAAAGAGAAATGCTGGCATAGATTTCGGATCCAGAAAAGCATCAGCAACACAGCCTATACCTGAAGACATGAAAGATCCCATGGTTACTGATCCACAACCATACCATGAAGATGGGGCTCCTGCAGCTGAGAAGACAGAAGCCACAGCTTCTCTTTCATTGATGGTGGAAAGCCCTTCTACAACCCAAGAGGAGGCCATTCTCTCAGTGGCAGCAGAGGCTCAAGTGTTGACAGATCCTTCTCATATCCAGTCACAAGAGAAAGAAGCTTTCAGCTTTGAGTCACAAAAGGCCCAATCCAAAACGGAGTCAGCCCAGGATGTTCAAACTATCTGCAAAGAAAAGCCTTCTGGAAATGTTCACCAGGCCTTTACAACAAGTGTTTTGGGTACGACAGGTATTCCAGCCAAAGGAGATGTTTATGCCAAGAGTCTGCCTCCTGAAAGCCTTTTTCAGTCCTCAAGGAAGCCTGATGCTGAAGAAGTCTCCTCAGATTCAGAGAATATTCCTGAGGAGGGGGATGGTTCTGAAGAACTGGCTTGTGGTCACTCTTCCCAGTCCTTGTGGAAGTTTGAAGATGAACAAAAAGTCTTCTCAGAATCAAAAAGTTTGGTTGAGGACTGGAGCAGCTCTGAGGAGGAGCTGGACCCCAGATGCCCTTCCCAGGCTTTAGAGGAGCCCGAAGATGAAGTCTTCACAGACTCAAGCAGTTATATTGAGAAGTACAACAGTTTTGAGGATTGCAGCAGCTCGGAGGAAGATCTGCCTGTCAGACACCCTGCTCAGGCCTTGGAGAAGCCCAAAGACCAACAAGAAGTCGCCTCAGCTTCAAAGAATACTCCTGAAGAGCAGAATGCTTCCATGCCGCAGCTGCCTCCCAAACGCCCTTCTCAGCCCATTATGAGTCCTGCTGTTCAGCAACAAGTTCGCACCAGTTCAGTGGGCACTTCTACAAAATGGAGCAGTTCCGTGGAGCCAGTCTCTCCAAGACACCCTTTCGAGGCATGGGCGAGTCCTAAATCTGAGCAAAAAGTCTCCACAAGTCCAGAGAGTGCTGCTGTTGAGTGGGGCATTTTTCTGGAACCTCTGCCTCCCAAAATTCCTTCTAAGCACCGGATGAGGCCTAAAGCAGAGCAACAAGGCTCCTCAAGTCCAGAAATTACAAGTATGGAAGGGGCTGCTTCTGTGGAGGCCCCGCTACCCAGCCAGCATTCTCAGCCCCTGATGAGCCCAGAAGTCCAGCAAGAAGTCTCTGCAGGTCCAGAGACTGCTACTGTTGAGGGGAGCATTTCTGTGGAGCAAATGCCTCCCAAACACCCTTTCCAGCTACGGGTGAATCCAAAAGTGGAGCAAGAAGTTTCCTCATCTCCAAAGATCATGGCTGTTGAAGAAAGTGTTTCTAGGAAGCCTCTGCCTCCTAAACTTCTTTCCCAGCCCTCGATGAACCCTAAAGTTCAACAGAACATGTTCTCCGATTCAGAGGACATTGCTGTTGAGAAAGTCATCTCTGCGGAGCCACTGCTCCCCAGATATTCTCCTCAGTCCTTGACAGATCCTCAAATCCAGCAAATCTCAGAAAGCACAGCTGTTGAGGAAGGCACTTATGTGGAGCCGCTGCCTCCCAGATGCCTTTCCCAGCCCTCTGGAAGGCCTAAGTTCCTAGAATCAATGAGTACTTCTGCAGAATGGAGCAGTCCTCTGGAGCCAATGCCTACTGGACAAACCTTCCAACCACGGGCGAGTCCTAAATTTGAGCGGCAAGTATCTGAAGGTCTAGAGAGCACTGCAGCTGATGGGAGCATTTCTATGGAGTCGATGCCTCCCAGACATCCTTTCCAGCCATGCGTCATCCCTACATTTGAGCAACAAGTCTTTGCAGAAGTCTTCGCAGGTCCAGAGACTGCTGCTGCTGACTGGGGCATTTATACAGATCCACTGCCTCCCAGAGTGCCTTCTCAACGCAGGATGAGATCAAGAGCCAAGCAAGCAATTTCCTTGGATTCAATGAGCATTTCTGCAGAAAGGTGCAGCTCTGTGGAGCCAACATCTCCCAGAAGCCCTTTCCAGCCACAGGTGGGCCCTACATTTGAGCAACCAGTCTCTGCAGCTCCAGAGAGCACTGCAGCTGAAGGGACTGCTTCTATGGAGCTGAGGCCTCCCAGACAGCCTTCTCAGCCCCTGATGAGACCAGCAGTAGAGCAAGAAGTCTCCTCAGGTTCAATGAGCACTTCTTCAGAATGGAGCAGTCCTGTGGCATCTTCCAAATACACTTTCCAGCCATGGGTGACTCCTAAATTTGAGCAACTGTATCAACTCTCTGCAGATCCAGAAAGCACTACTGTTGAAGGGAACATTTCTAAGGAGCCGCTGCTTCCCAGACATCCTTCCCAGTTTACTGTGAGGGATAAAATCCAGCAACTGTCCTCAAATTTCAAGAGCACTGCCATTGAAGCAGGCATTTCTGGGGGGCCACTGCCTCCAAAATATCCTACCCAGTTCTTAACGAGGTCTAAAGTTCAAGAAATGGCCTCGCGTCTAGAGAACACAGCTGTTGAAGGCATTTCTAAGAAATCACTGATTCCCAGACGTCCTGCCCAGTCATTCGTGAAGTTTATGGCACAGCAGATCTTTTCAGAGAGCTCTGCTCTTAAGAGGGGTGGTGATGTGGCACCTTTGCCTCCAAAACTTCCTTCCAAATCTTCGTTGAAGCCTAAAGTCAAGCACCAAGTTTTTTCAGATTGGGGGAATGCTAATCCTAAGGGAGGCATTGCTTCGAAGATGCTGCCTATGAAGCACCCTTTACAGTCCTTGGGGAGACCTGAAGACCCACAAGAAGTTCAAGAAGTTTTCTCATATTCACAGAGTGCTCCTGGGAAGTGCAGCAGTTCTAAAGAGCAGCTGCCTCCCAGACAGCTTTCCCAGGCCTTGGGGAAACTTGAGTATGAGCAAGAAGTCTCTTCTGTTTCTGCCAGCTCTCCTGAAGAGTGGAGGAATTCCAAAAAGCAGCTGCCTCCCAAACATTCTTCCCAAGCCTCAGATAGGTCTCAAGTCCAGCCACGGATGTCATCAATGGGCACAGCGAATGTACCTATAAAGCGGAGCAGCAGTGAGAAGCACCTGCCTCCAAGTAGCCCTTTCCAGCGACAGGTTCATTCAAGTTCTGTGGGTGCTGGTGCTGGGCGATCTATTTTTGAGAGCAATTCTGACAACTGGTTCCTACAAAGAGATCAAGCTTTTGCAAACAAAACCAAGAAGTTCAGCCAAGGTTCCAAAAACCGCATAAAGAGCATCCCAGCTCCTGCTACCAAACCTGGGAAGTTCACTATTGCCCCTACTGGGCAAACATCCACTTCTACGGGCATTTACTCCAAGGAAGAAGTTCTTGAGAGTAGTGATGGAAATAATAACCAGCATTCAGGCCTATCCAACCAGGCTCATGTTGAAAACCTTTTTGGAGTTCGACTGAGAAGAGTCCCTTCCTTGCAGAAGTATGAGAGTGAGAAACAAGATTACTTCACCCAGCTTGCTTCAGTGCCCTTGGGCCCAGTTTCATCGTTTGTAGGTAAGGAGCATAAAATCAGAAGAAGCACTTCCGAGGGGCTCCTGAGTGCTGCAGGGAACCTCACCAAAATATCTAACTTTGCAGAGAAGCAACAGAGCAGGCCAAAATCTGAAAGCATGGCCAAGAAGCAACCTGCTTGCAAGACCCCAGGTAAGGCTTTTATCTCTCCAGATGGCTAGTAGATATCAAGTGGAAAGAAGAACTGGAAAGCAAAGCCTTCAATGGGCATTAAAGTCTGTTATGGCCTTGCGTACTGAATTGTGGCTTTGACAGGGCTTGCTAATGGGTTTGGGAGCATAATAGTGCCCCATTCTAGATTTAATAGATTCGGAGGTAATTTTGAGTCTTCCCTTTCCCAATACGGTTCCCCTCTGGACATTCATCCACATTCCATAATAAACACATAACCGCCTCCCCATTCTCTCTTCCACACCCTCTGTACACCTTATATTTGGATGGAATTTTATGCTTTTCTTAAAATACTTTTACATGTATTAAGCCCCTCCCTAACATCATGTGGATTTTTGAGGCCAACTCATTAGTAGAGCATTATGTTCAGTCTCTCAGCCTGAAATCTTAATTTACCATAAATGTTTCTTCACTCACCTGAAATATCTAAGAATCCAGAGCTAGGTAATCTTTGGGGCACTAACGTCTCCCAAAACCTTTGGACTTTCACACTCTGTCCTTGGTAAAGTCTTTTATATTCCTGTAACCACACTCATGTAACCACATACTTGTGCGAGGGACTATGAAGCAATAAATACTCAAAGATTTTTCTTGGAGTTAGAGGAAAGGCATCAATGGCCTGAGCCTCTGGCCTCCTTGGAATTTTCCCTACCCACATGGCAAATGTTGTCTTGCCCTGATTTGCAGATGGGAAGAGGGATGGACAAGGGAAGGGAAAGGTCCAATAAAGGGACAGTATGCCCACTTTTAAGTCAGCTTCTTTACTGCCCAAGGAACTTCTGCCTTGCCAAGCTGTAGGGAGGGCCCAAAATGGGGGGAGGGCTTCTATGCTTGATATGTGTTTATTTTCCTTTGGCAAGTAACAAGTTCCCATTTGGAATATTATTGTGGGTAAGCCCTAGCCAGGTTCAGGACCCTGCCTGCCTTGCTTCAGTTCTAACTTCTTTCATTCCTTTCTCAGGAAAGCCTGCTGGTCAACAGTCAGATTATGCCATCTCAGAGCCAGCTTGGATAACTATGGCAAAGCAGAAGCAGATGGGTTTCAAGGCCCATATTCCTATGAAAGAGCTGAAAACCAAGAGCAGAGCTGGAGCTAAGGCTGAAACTAAGGAGCCTAAATATGGGGTAGGAACTGGGGTAGCCTAGAGAACACTCCAAAAATGTTGCTGGAATCACTGATTAGGCTTCCTTTGGGAACTTTGCCGACATGCAGCTCCCCATCTCTTTGGGAGCATTAATCAAGGCAGGGGGACTCTTCGGGGAAAAAGACTTGCTTTGCATTTATACAAACATGCCCTGCTTTTATGCTCTTAAAGGGTTTGTGCAGGCCAGGTGCAGTGGCTCCTGCTTAATCCCAGCACTCTGGGAGGCCAAGGCAGGTGAATTGCTTGAGCTCAGGAGTTCAAGATCAGCCTGGGCAACATGCTGAAACTCTGTCTTTACTAAAAATACAAAAAAATAGCCAGGTGTGATGGCATGCACTGATTCCCAGGTACTCAGGAGGCTGAGGTGCGAGGATTGCTTGAGCCCAGGAGTGGAGGCTGTAGTGAGTCATGATCACACCACTACACTCTAGCCTGGGTGACAGAGTGAGACTCTGTCTCAAAAGTAGGGGAGAGGTTATGCAAAGTCATGAATATAGAGAGAATCTACACAACAAGTCCTGCCCTCAATATTCTAAAGCAAAGTTCCACAAATTGGTTGAGAAAAAAGGAGTAAGTCATTTTACTATATTTTAAATTTTTTATTTCCATAGGTTTTGGGGGAACAGGTAGTATTTGTTTACATGAGTAAGTTATTTAGTGGTGATTTGTGAGATTTTGGTGCACCCATCACCCGAGCAGTATACACTGTAACCCAATTCATAGTCTTTTATCCTTCACCCCCTCCCACCCTTTCCCCAGGAGTTCCCAAAGTCCATTGTATCATTCTTATGCCTTTGCATCCTCATAGCTTAAAAAAATATCTAAAGGTAATCACTGGGGTAAGAGTTGACTATCTTTACAGATATTTTATGCCTATCAAAATGTATACGGAATCAAACTATAAATACTATTTTTTACATTTAACATTTTATTTCTAGGCCCTTTTCCATATCAGTACACAAATTCCCTTTCTTTGTTTGATGTTTGGATTTCTATATATTGATTTGGTTTGGTGTGGCACCTACCTGTAAGTTAAAAAATGTTATGTAGTGAACTAGGCTAACTACCACATGTGGATAAGAGATGATGGGATGCCTTTCTCCCCACTCATCAAAACTGCAGAAAACTGACTTAAGGAAACATACCAAATTCACATATCAAGAGATATGTTTAAGTTCCTATACTTTTAAGTGCTTACTAAATTTGTCGAAGGACCATGCGAGGACCTGTTTAACTCTTTGCTTTAAAGGTCTTTTCTTTTTCATCATTAGTATATACATGGGGGCAGGATCATATGGGGGTAAAGCCCACCTTTATTAAAGCTCAGTGGCGCAATCACAGCCCACTGTAGCGTCAACCTCCTAGGCTCAGACAATCTTTCCCCTTCATCCCCGCCACAGTAGCTGTGACTATAGGCACTATAGGCATGTGCTACCATGTCCAGCTAATTTTTATATTTTTTGTAGAGATGGGGCTCACTATGTTGCCCAAGCTGGTCTTGAACTCCTGGCTCCAGTGATCCTCCCACCTGTGCCTCACAAAGTGTTGGGATTATAGGCAACTCAGCTCTCAGCCTGGTTAAAGCTTTTGTCATGAGGGATAAGTTAGTGTTTATAAATTCACTAATTTAGACCAATTATGGAGAGGTTAATTTAAAAAGAATAAACTGCAAAATTTTGGAAAGACCTACTATTATATTACTTTCTAATGTGAGGAATCCTTCAAGACATATGTCAGCTAGTTTTGAAAAGTAGAAATCTTACGGAACTCACTTCAATGAATTGATCAGATTTGTTTGCAACTATTATTAAACTATTAAGTTTGCAACTTAGCTTGCTGTTAAGTGCTAGTAAAGTGCTAAGGAAAAGGTTGTTCTCAAGTTAAATAATTCTCCTGTTAACCTGCTTACACTATCTGTAAATTTAGACAATTCTTTTTTTCTAGTCTGAAAGGTGGTAAACTTGAGCCAGTTTAGGTTTTGTGAATGTAAATTTTAAGCAAAAAGACTCAATGCTATTTCTCTCCTTATCTATCTCTGTATCTCTAATCTTTCCTTTTGGATACTGTTGAACTCATAGTACCCAGGACAGGGCTTGCACTTGATGGCCCTCTGTATAAGCAATCTGCCATTTTAATGTCAAAACTTAACAAGATTTCTGTTTTCATTTTTGTGTTAAAGGGAGCTGGCCCTGCAAATGAAAACCAAGCTAAAAATATTTTCACTTCCAATGTCTACAAACAGGAGAAGAGAGCACAGATGAAACCACTTAAGCCTATAAAATCAGGTAAAAGCATATATTCCGATCTCTCAAAAAACAGCCCTGGCAGAATGTTTTGAAACTTTTGCAATTTCAAGCTCAGATAATACTTGTCTCTTATCTCCCAAGTCAGCTTAATGATTTCTCTCATGGCTCTTTAATTAGATAGAGATATTAGCTTATTTTAGGAAAATCTAATTATTTTGATTTATACAAGTCCAGTGTATAACTTTCAGAGGGTCTTCCAGTCTTTTGGCTCATCAAAGAAGCTGTCTAGGCACAAAACCGTGGTCACTCACTGAAACATTCTTCTGGCTGGTTATGCAAGAGGAAAGTACCAAGTCACTTTCCAGTTCATAGCAAAGTGGTATTTTCTCACTTTCTACATCTCCAATGAAACTGTTGAAAATAATTCACTCTAAAGGCCCAATGGTATTAAATTGTTTTAAATTATTTAGTAGGCTTGTTTCAGCTTCTCTGTATTCTGAGCAGGGATGTGTAAGTGGTGAGGAAATGTTGACAGCTGAGAGGAATACTCCGCTGGGACATAATAGAATGTGATCTCACCAGAAAGAGTTGTGTGCTAGAGAGAATTTTTTTTCAGCAGGAGCAGGGGAGGACAGGATGGATTTATATTGAACCATCTTTAAGAAATTAGACTAGGAATTCAGGAACCCACTGTCTGGCCATGAAATAGCAGCAGTTGACTTGCTCACAGCTATTAATGGCTTCATGGGCACTATACTACTATCAAGTGTTTCACAACTGTCACTCTGCATCAGAATCACCTGGTGAGCTTTTTTAAAAATTACAGATTGTCCTGGCTCTATCCTTAGAGATTCTAGTTCATTTGCTTCTGGAAACACCATGGGCATTGGTATTTTTAAAGGAGCCCTAGGTGATTCTAATGTGTAGCCAGGATTGAGAACCACTGGTTGAGTCTAAATCACTAGGTAAATTGACCATAAGCAGGATGAGGGAGGGAGTAGAATTAGGAATAGGGAAAGTAGTCTGCTTGGATGGGGTAGTTGGGTTAGTACAATATTATTTACCATCAACTTTTACTGCGTGCATCTATTGAGTCATCAATCAATGCGCTTCATGCAAAACACAAATAACATTACCTTATGTGAAATTTTCAAAACTGAGCAGATACGATATGTTTCCCTCTGGTCTCAGTCCGAAGATGTAAGACAATCCAGTAATAGCCACCCGAAGATTGGCAGTTACAGCCATAAGTACTACCTCCCAGGCCTTCTGATGCCCATGGCCCTGTGGCCATAGCCACGTTGATTTTACCCCTTTGACATACCACTGTTGGCATCACGTAGGCATTAACTTTTAGAAGTCTGGCACCAAAGGGAGAAGGGTCTATAAAGCACTAGAGCAGGGGGATCAGAGGAAACCTGAAAGGAAGAAACATTTTAGGACATTCTATAAACAACATACCCAAGTATCTCTGGGGTTCTTTATTGCTTGTGTGTTATTTTCTGTGGTTCCAGTTGGATTTGAGGCTCAGAAGATACTGCAAATGCCTGCCATGGAAAAAGAAACCAAACGATCTTCAACTCTCCCAGCCAAGTTCCAAAAGCCAGGTGAGCCAGTTGAGCCTGTCTGGTTCTCCCTGGCCAGGAAGAAAGCCAAAGCATGGAGCCATATGGCAGAGACCACAGAATAAAGAGCTCTTGTATGGAGCATCAGCATTTTAAATGATAATTCCTAATAACCATATTAATTCTATGTAGTGATCTTTTCACCGTGTGACCACTTTTATTAAGCAAAATAAGTATTAAGCAAAGTATGAATTTATTAAGCAAAATAAGAATTTATTAAGCAACATAGCATTAGAAATGCGAATTAAAACATAATTATTTCAATGAAATAAATGCCGTGAATGCTTCACCTTCCATATAGTCACTGCCAGCATCCAGAAACCTAGCATTTTCTCTATTAAAACTATGGGAAACATTTGCACTGCTGTAGAATTGCAAAGTCTTTAACTTTGGACAATGTGCTTTAGAAGGGATAAAACAAAAACATTTTGTTGGAGCAACTAAAAAATTGTCATTTCTCTCAGCCAAATAAAGTGATTCTAATGGAAACACTCAGATGATTTGATGCAAAGATTGGCCTTTAGGATTTATGAGCCTAGATGGATGCTGCAATTATTTGGTTGTTGCTCCAAGCTTTGCAAAGGCTCCTAGAAGAGGTGGTGGAAGTGAAAATTCTGGGTCTCCAAGAAAATTTCTGCACAGCCAGTTCTCCAATCAGCCTACCACCCCTTGAAATATCTTCCCTGTGTCCCTGAGGGCCCCTGATGCTTTCACCTTGAGTGATAGTAACATACAGAACACTTACACAAAGCTCCCTCTTGGCACATGCCCCATGTCGACCTGTCACAGGCCTGGCTGCAGCACCTCCCTATGAGGCAGAATGCTTCTTGGAAATTATCTTCATCCTCTGGATGGTTAGTCCATCAGTGTTTTGCCTCTCATCCCAATACTACTGTGACCCCCGCTGATTGCACAGAAATCACTGCCTGTCATATATATCCTGTTAAGCACTGAAGACCCTTTTGAAATTAGAGCTCTACAGGTGCCAAAAGCTGTACTTACCATCAAGCAGATGGCAAGCTTGCCACCTTGATGCACATCTGGGGCCACTGGAGCTCCTTCCTCTCTGGTTCCAGCCTTAAGGTGCAGAACTCCATGAAGCTTCTTGTCCTTTTTCCTCAGCTGTCTTTGCTTCACAAGGTTTTAGCCCAAAGCAAGAGTGCAATCCAAAAGCCACAGAGAAATGAACTTTCTGCTAACTGGAAGCTTTGAGTAAATCAGTATTTTCCCACTCTCATTCCTAGAGGCACACACCTCAAAAGTTACTAGGCTGGAGAGACCCTACCTTCCAGTGACCCACTCATCCCCCAGCCACGGAGAAGAGGGAAGGCCAAAAAGGAAGAGTGAGAAAGAGGATGAGAGGGATGGTCAGCTATGAGGGGAGGGGGCAAGTAGCCCAGCACATGTTCATGCCTCCTTTTCCATCTTGCCACACAGCCTTTTTCTTTTGCAGCACTGCCTCCATTAACAGCTCCTCGGCTGAGGGTAAAGATGTAGGCACCTTTGCCCCCAGAGCCGGTTCCTTAATTGGCTGGCTTTCTAATATGCAGACCACCCCAGAATCTCATCTAGGTTCACTAGAAGTTAGTTAAATCTTCCTTTTTATGTCTTTCCCTTCATGCCATCCCCCAAACCCACCAAACACTAAAGGAGAGCTCCCTTTGGATGCCTGGGTAGTAAGTCTAGCTCATTTTTTCTAGGAGACCCAGAAGTAACTTCTCAGTATAGTTATGACTGTGTCTGCTTCCGTGACACTGTGCTGCTTTGCTAAATAGAAATGCAGGCCTGGGCATCTGACTGTGCCTTTATATTCTGAGTGGGGTGCTGCCCCATGCAAAAAAAAAAAATCCAGAGAGGCACTGAGGTGTCAGAGCTAAACACTTGGTGCTGGATTTTGTTGATGCTGGTATAATGTGACATGGTACAATCACATGCTAGATTTTGCATTTTCTCTATATAACATCTATTTTTCCTGATACTGTGCCTTTGCCATTTGGATAATGCTAGGTTTTTGACTGAGTGAATTTCACTTCTTTTGTATTCCCATAGTGAACAATATATTAAGGTAGATGCCCTTTATCCCAGTACTCCTGGCAGATTAGCTGTTATACCTCCCTTCCCTTTTTTACAGTGAACCTGTATTCAGTTATTCTCACTCTGAGAACTCTCCAGTAACAATTTCTTTTCCACAGTTAACAACAAAGCTCTGTTTTTAAATGAAGAGATTAAGTTCTTTTTAAATGCTAAAAGCACATTCTGACAAGTTTTCTACTTCTTTAGCTTTCTTGATTTATGATATATGCAAAGCAAATAAATTCAATAAAGCCTATTCTGTAGTCCATCTCTGTCTGTGACATGGGGCAGGAAATCAGATAGGATATTGACAACTCAAAGCTGAAGGTTGTCAGATAAGTCAAATGTTCTTAAGAGGTGGTGCTGAGAATAAAGGGCCTCCACACAGGTGTGCCTGACCAAGCTGATGGCCTCCAGGTGGGCACTGATATTTGGTATGGGGGAGAAGGGCTATTAGGTTTTGTGTATGAACGCCTGGAGAGCAAAGAGAGCGAATGGAGAGGGGTGCGCTTGGGGGTGAGTAGAAGGGACACGGCGGTTGGTGGTTGCAGTCTAGCCTGGGTCAGGGATTAAGTCCAAGTTGTATAGCAAGATGGGCTACTGGAACAAGTGCTTTTCAGAAGCAAGGGGCCCCACCATGCTCAGGAAACAAAGCGGCATGGAGGGAGGAAGGGAAAGGGGTTATCAGCTAGATATTGAGCCTGTCCCACCTGTAACATTTTCAGGTTTCAGATCAAGAGTTCAACTTGGGATCCACATACCATATGTCTAAATATTTAAAATGTTTAAATCAACTAATACAACATGTTTTATTTAATGGTTTATCTACAGTTATCATTATGACAACTGTACCTTCATAATGACCTCAAAGGCCAGGTCGGGTTCTAGAATTCTGACTCCTGCCCCAGCGGTGTGGGAAGAACTGCTCCCCTTCCCCCTCCCGCTTTAGAAATATTTCAGACCTACACAAAATTGTAGAAAACATTACCATAAACATTCATGTATCTACTATTCAGCTTAAGAAATGTCACATTACAAATACAGTTGATGCCTGCTGTGGAGCCTTCTCTACTTGAATGTCCCTCCCTTTCTTTCCCTGAGAGGTAACCATCGTCTCAAAAGTGCTCGTCTTTTAAATGCACACCTTTCTGTATGCCTCATTTGTACCCATCTCTTACATGCACACCTTTTAGTCTCTGTGTATATACCCACAATCAATTTATGGTGATCATTAGTATGTTTTCTTAGAAGTCATATGCATGGTATCATGTTTGTATCCTTTTGGACCGACTTTTTCCTTTATGCAGGCTGCAGCCCCTGTGAGTTCTAGTCTCCTCCCCAGCCCAGCCCTTGCTGTCCCTTTTGGTTTACCTGAAACAGCCCCTAGCCAGTGAGTTAAGGCCGGTCTGACAGGAGGTGAAGCACAGCTTCTTCCTCTGTTGCTTGAAACCAGTGGCTCTCTCCAACCTTAGTGTTCATCAGAAGCCCCTGGGGGACTTGTTAAAACACAGCTTGCTGACCCCACCCCAGATTTTCAGATCCCATAGGTCTTGGGTGGAGTCTGAGAATTCCCAGGTAATGCTGATGATGCTGTTTGGGGAACCAAACTTTGAGAACCACTGCTCCAGATCAAAGTCTGGACCCAAACTCAGCAATACCATGTGGCCTCCAGGCAACCTGGGCCATCCGTGAAGTTTTCTTCAAAACCATACTCTAGAGCAGCACTGTCCAATAGACATATAATGTGATCTACATGGGTAATTCTAAATGTTCTAGTAGCCACATTAAAAAACAAAAAGAAACCAACACAAACTTTAATATTTCATTTTATTTCAAGTATTATCATTTCAACATGTAACCAGTGTAACAATCATTCGTAAAATGTGCAATATTATTTTCACATTTAAAGCATATATTAAATTGGACTAGCCATATTACAAGTGCTCACTAGCCATAACATTACTAGTGCCTAAAGTAGTAGACGACACAGCTCTAAAGACTTGAGCCCCATCTCTCTCTTTTCAAAAATTGTTTTAAATTTGACATTTTAATTATTTTTGGCCATGTTTCAGTTTATTCATTTGAAACAAACTTTTATTTTTAACTTGAACAAACACTGTCAAATACATTCAGGAAAGTTAGCTGTCACTGGATATCACTTTTGATGTAATGAACTTTGTAATGTCAGGTGTTAAAATTCCCAGAGGCATCTGAAACAAACAAACAAACAAACAAACAATGAGCAACAGAGTCTTCTTTCTATACCTCCTAACTGCAGAATGAAATGAGAGAAAATAAATAATGGTACAACATTAACTGACACCAGTGACTTTCTAAATAGAAGAAAATGGCCAGGTCTGTGTATATCTGCAACATTTGTGTGCTATATTTTAAATCAGTAGAGAAGAACACCTTTTCCTTTTGTAACTCACAAACTTGGATAGTGGGGTGTTTGTGGAACTGAAGGTTTCATTCAGATGATCACACCAACCTTGTCAGCCTAGCACTAGAAAAGCTTGTTGTTTTTGTTTTTACATGAGAATCCATTCTCATGTAAATAAATCTCTGAAGCTTCATCAGCCTGTGCTGGTTCCAAAAATGATATTCCCTTACCCTCCCAGACCCTTGGTTTCCATATCTACCATATAGAAAAGAAGCTGTTAAGAAATATACAACTGTGAAAATGCAAAAAAAGAAAAAAGAAAATATTAACTATTTAGATATATTCAAAGACAGATATACCTTAAGACTTAATTACACACATTCTTTTCATTTGTCACATAAAATACAAAAATATAGAGCTAAACAAATATTTAGGTATTAGTCATTAAATGTGGTCCTACTTTAAATTCTTAGCTTTTTGCTATTTGTTAGTAGTCACTTTGTAAAAAGCATTGGAGTTGTCTCCTAGTTACTATGGGGAGCCTGCATTTCTGTGGTCAAGTAATGAAGGCCCAACTAATGCATGGCCCAGCCTAGTTAGCTGCTGTGTCTGGCAACTGCTGTGTCTGGCAACCAATATTGTACACAAATATTGGTCTTGGTAGTAGGTCTGATTCATTTGCCACTTGTTAGCAGTTTTGCAGCTAGAGGACAAAAGACCTCAACATGAACAAATGAGTAGCCATGAAGTATATTTCAGACCACATTGCAGTTCATATTACTAGGTACATGAAAATTCTAGTAGCATTTTAAGTAAATTAAATTGAATTTTAAAGCTAATGTTAAACTTTTTATTAATTAATTTACTGGGAAGTTTTGAAAAAAATAAAATTGTCAGTAACAGGTAAATGCCAGGAATAGTTGAGTGATTCTCAAAGCTATACACAGATACCTGGATTTTCTTGCTTCCCCTCTGCTGTGTCTAGGTCCCTTTGGAGTTCTTCCTCTTGTTTTTCACATCCTTTTCTTTTTCTTGTTCTTTCTTTTCTTCATCTGCAGCATCTTGGGCCTCCTCATCCCACTTCTCAGGCTGCGATTTAGTGATTTCTTTAGTGAAGAATAATACAGACATTGGGACCAGTCATTCACAGAAAATATAGTCTAATTTATAACTAGCAGTGGCATCTAGTACTCCAACCTCAGGAAAAGCAGGAGGATAGACTTAACTAAGAAAGGAATAGCTAGGCACCTTCCTACTGGTTTTTCACAACATTTCCATGGCCCTCACATTGCTGCCACTTGATCATTTCCACAGTGACACTATTTCCCTTTTTTCCAGTAAATCTTCCACCCAAAACTGCTGATTCTTTCTAGTTCTTTGGAGAAAAAGAGATCAGAATCATCAGGGCTGATCATATTCTAAGTGTTTTGGTCAGAACTTTGTTGGGAAAATATTTGTTGCCTCAAAAGACAAATTCTGTGGTGAAGCTCATTGGTTCCTAAACCCCTGAATGCTTCATTTTTACCAAGGGCTCCTGTATCACTTCATTACTTGGGGAATCAACTTTCTAAGAAAAGCCACGAACCAAAAAAGATGTGTGCCATTTGCCTGTTCTTTTCTTTTGGGTGTCCCTTCTGTTTCCTGTGGAGCTCCCTCCTAAACCCCTATTTACCCGGCCATTCATCTGTAGGTTTGCAAATGGAATCGATGATCTCAGATCTCCTGTCAAACACAGTTTGGTAGAGGGCGGCATGTTTTCTCAAAACCACAGAGGTCGTTAGAGAATTGGGCTTTGACTCATTGGGACACATTCGGCCTTAAGTTTCAGGAGGGCATCGACCTCCACTTCACCACCCACTTCACCAGCTGTGCCTGCACTGCGGCCCTGCCCAGAGCCCTCAGGCACCCGTGTTCCCTCCTCCTCGCCACTGCCACTTGCCAGTTCCTCACCCTCGGGGGCCGCGGCCTCCTGCGTGGCTGGTTCCTCTGCAGACTCCTCTGCAGCGGGTTTCTCTTCCCACTCCTCTGTGGACCGTTCCTCCGCCGCCGGTTCCTCTGCGGCCGATTTCTCTGCGGCGGGTTCCTCTGCAGGCTCCTCCTCTGCAGCTGGTTTATCTTCCGGTTCCTCCTCTGCCGCAAGTTTCTTCGCCGCCGGTTCCTCTGCGGCTGCTTCCTCTGAGACCAATGATCTCAGATCTCCTATCAAACACAGGTTAGTAGAGAGCAGCATGTTTTCTCAAAACTATAGAGGTCGTTAGAGAATTGGGCTTCAACTCATTGGGACACATTCGGCCTTAACTTTCAGGAGGGCCTCGACTCCCACTTTAGCACCCGCTTCACCAACTGTGCCTGCACCGCGGCCCTGCCCAGAGCCTTCGGGTGCACGGTTCCCGCCTCCCTGCCTCCTGGCCGCTGTCGCTAGCCTGTTCCTCACCCTCGGGGGCCACGGCTTCCTCTGCGGCCAGTTCCTCTGGGGAGTCCTCCTCTGCAGCTCGTTTCTCTTCCTGCTCCTTCTCTGTGGCTGGTTTCTGTGAGATCTCAGATCTCAGATCTCCTATCAAACACAGTTTGGTAGAGGGTGGCATGTTTTCTCAAAACTATAGAGGTCGTTAGAGAACTGGGCTTTGACTCATTGGGACACATCCAGCCTTAAGTTTCAGGAAGGTCCCAACCCCTACTTCACCACCTGCTTCACCAGCTGTCCCCACACCACAGCGCTAGCCCAGAGCCCTTGGGTGCAAGTGTTCCTTCTCCCCTCCCACCGCCTTGGCCCCCTGGCTGCCGCTAGCCAGTTCCTCACGCTCAGGAGCCACGGCCTCCTTTGAGGCTGGTTCCTCTGCAGTTGGTTCCTCTGCGGCCGGTTCCTCTGCAGCGGGTTCCTCCTCTGCAGCCACTTCCAGCTTCTCTTCTGTGGCTGCTTCCTCCGCTGCTGGTTCCTCTGCGGCCTCCTCTGTGGCTGGTTCCTCTGAGATCGTTGATCTCAGATCTCCTATCAAAAACAGTTTGCTGGAGGGCAGCATATTTTCTGAAAACCATAGAGGTCGTTAGAGAATTGGGCTTCGACGCATTGGGACACATTCGGCCTTAACTTTCAGGAAGGCCTCCCGACCCCCGCTTTACCACCCGCTTCACCAGCTGTGCCCACACCACGGCGCT